TTGGGAGGAAGTGGACTTCAGGGATGGGCTTGGATTCTGTTTGCTAAGATGCTTCCTGGGAGACAAACTAGGAGTGGTCTGTCTACCTGCTGCTGTCCTGGCATCCTGAGGTGCCAACTGGACATTTTCTATGACATTTTATGTGATGTCAAAGCTGTTCTTTCCTCCTTTCCCCAAGGTCCTCACATCTCTTCTTTTATGTGTGAACCAAATGCCTTTTCTTTCTTTTTTTTTTTTTTTTTTTTTTTTTTTTAAGGAAAAGGAGAGAGTGAAATGAAGCCACATGTTTAGCTGCAGGCCAGGGATGTAAGGGAGACTTTCCCACGTGTTTGAATAGTGTCAGGGAGCCAGTGCCCTGGGAAACCGGAGAGCTCTGACAGACCTTTGTGCTCTGTTGATGGGCAAAAGCGCCTTTAGGAGCCAAGAGCACACAAGGCAACGGAGATTGAATCTGGTACAGAGATCGGATCTGGTACCTATGTAGTGTGTGATAGCATAGATTGTGTAACAAGATGAAAGAAAATATTTTAATCAATTTGTCCTAAGAATCACCACTAATCCCACTCCATTATGTAATATTCCTGTTCATCTTTTGGCGTATTACATTTCACATATATACAGAACAGTAATAATAGTGTATCCATCCCATTGTTTTCTACTAATTTACATATATAATATGTATATATTTCTATGTGTGTATATATATATATAATATGTATATATACATTTCTATGTTTCTGCATAGTCTTTATAATTACTATCAGTTGCATAAAACCATATCGTATTAGTGAACCATAATTTATTAAATTATGTCCCTAAATTAAATATTTAAACTGTCCCATGCTTACTTTATAGTCAACATTAGATTTAAAATGCCTGTCACGTCATTAAGATACATAGATACGTTTGGTTTACTTTTTAGGTTAAATTCTTAATTTGCTAGGGCAAAGGGTAGGAGCAGTTTTAGACGTTCATGTCATGGATGCTGCGTTACTTTCCGAAATGTTGTGTCATTCTGTGATGCCTGTGGCCGCGAAGGATCACAACCACTTTGTCACAACCTCACTAACACTGGATATGACCAATTAAAAACAAACTGTGGAAGTAGGAAATTATATTCCTAGACTGTGTTAACTGTCAAACCGCCACTGTCTTAGATGAGCTAAAGATACCTTCATAGCTCCTGGAAGTATCTTGGGCTGGTGTCCCGGGACTCCAGAGCCAGCTCTGAAGGGCTCCCTGGGTCGCTGTGCCCACCTTCTGCATAGAGCCTTCTGCATAGAGCCAAAGGCTTGGGGAAGGCTTGGCTGAATCTACCAGCCTTGTCTCCAGCCTAACTTTCCAACAGCCGCATTCCAAGGCATTGATGCATAATAAGTCAATGATTAGAAGTTAGGAATACATTTAATATTATAAATGGGCCAGCCAGATCAAGGTAATATAACTCATTAAAGAGGTGAAGTCCAGTATTTGTTCTTGTTTTGTTTTAACGCAGAACACAAATCTATGGTACCGCTTTCATCTTTTAGACTTTATGAAATAAACGTCAATAATCTATTTGTGAACAGCTCACTGCCTATTGCTTCTGATCTCACATAACATCCTCCTTAACTCCCCTCAGCCCCCTGCGAAGTAGCGAAAGGACAGGACTGGGAGACATAAGAAAGGATGAGTTGGTATGAACGCTGGCAAAGTAGCCACCCTAGAGCTCTGTTGTGCCATTTAGCCAAAGCGTTCCCAGTTTCCTGCAGGAAGGTGTCTGGTTCACCCTTCTTTCTCTGTGAGGAGCAGCCAGTGGCACACAGTTGAGAAGAGGCTAGATTCCTGCCAATAGTCTGTCTTCCCAAGAGACTGGAAAACAATCCTCAGCAAAAAGAAGTAGTTAATATAAATAGGAAATGACAGATGTCCCAAAGTGTGCGAGATCTCTGGCACAGAGTTGAGGGGGTGGAGGGTAGAGGGAGAGGCGTAGAGATGCCTTCTCAATGGAAGTAGAGACGAGGCAAGAGGCTGAGCTACAGAGGAAGGAGCTGAACCAAGAGCAGAATGGGAGAGATGCTCAGACTCAAGAAAGGCAGAGGATGAGCCTATGACAGGAGGGGAGAGAAAGAGAGGAAATTCTTGGATCTCTTGGAGGCAGATTTTTGATGTATCTGGCATCCCCCACATATGGAGAAGCCAGAACTTTTGGATAAGCAGCACAGAATAAGAAGGTGGACACATAACTATTAGAGGCTGCATGGAAAATCGGTTCTGATCCCATAAGGAAGGGTTATAACTGTGGGGAGGTTATGGGGCGTTCATTCTGCCTGGATCAAGAAGAGGGTCTCTATAGAGGGGGTATAGCCATGGTGGATGGCATGTTTGGGCTTCTGATACTGGCATCCGAAGTGTTCCTGAGAATATGGTCCTACCTAAGAAGCTTTCTGTCTCATACAGGGGCTGCGACATACCAGGAAGATTGGGGAGACACCTGTAAGGTCCAGGAAGTTGTGCTGGAAACTGATGAACTTGGGAAGCCCAGGGTGGTGCATTTTACTCAGCATGAGGCTAAGAGAAGAGGACCCAGGAAGCCGTGGGATGCTGAGGAAGTGAGGAAGGGTTGTTGGGGATGGGAAGTATTTTATAAGGCTAGAGCTCCATTGCAGCTGCAGTTTCTGAGTTAGCCCACATGTAAGAGGTGGCGCATCAGCCAGCCTCTCCAGGTCTTCCCTGTTCTGGCATAGTTAGGTAGATTAGGGACCAGCCATGTGCTTCTTGAAGCAGACATAAGAACTATGGTAGTCAATGTAGTCCCTGTTTACAAATAGGGAGACTGAGTGTCTGGGGTCATTCAGCAGCTCAAGAAGGAGAACTTCTATTTTCTCCTCTTTTCCTGACTGCCTTCCTGGTTAGCAGGGATTTGCACCTGAGACATCGCCAGCATGCCTTCCATATGTTTTCTGCCTTCTCAGCTTAGGCAGCGGGACTATAAATGCAGCTTCCTTCATGGATCTGTGCTCACCTGTCACTTAGCCCAAGCTGGAGCCACAGATGCCTGTGGCTTGACGGATCCAAGTGCCCCGTTAAGTGGCCATGCCAGGCTTTTGTCAGAGCCGGTTTCCACTTGAGGCAGGCCAGCTTATTTCTTTCTCCTTCTTGGAACATCACTTGAAACGTAGGAACGAACTTGATCTTAATTCTTTCTTCAACATGACATGCCCTTTTGAAATTGTGCAAATAACAATGTCTGATTGTCATGTTGAATTACAAGCACGGGTATGAAATGCTCCAGAGTCGGACAGAAGCCAAATATTAGGTCATAAGTCAACATTTTGCTGAGAAACTCGGTTACTAAGAGGTGGAAAATTTATATCTTTTCATGAGAAAACGTGTTTGCCAGCAGGAGAAAATTTCAAAACTGTTATGCTCCCATGTGGAGGGAGAGAGATGAGTGTAATTTTGCAACCTGGGTCAAAGCCCTTTAGGGACTCCTGAAATTGACTTGGGCAAGGAAAGAGGCTCTGAGGTAATATTTGGATTGTTCCCGAGGTGAATATCAATGGGTGGTATGGTCTATGTCATTTCTTACAAGATCGTCGGGTAAAATTGTGTGAATGGCTAGGAGCAGTCTATTCCTGGCAGGGGGAGGCCATGCTCCACCCACAAAGCCTTCGGATGGAAAACTCCTGATGAGAAAATAAGCCAGCTTGGCCCACGGGCACCTAGGGTCCCAAAAGAAGCAATATCGTGATGAGCTTCACCTAAGCAGCTATGGCATTCTCCGGAGATTCTCAGTGGACACAAAGACAACTGAATAAAGGCAGGAGAAGGGAATAACACCCCTGCTGACAGTGCCACAAAGCTTGTAGCTTGCCAGCTTGGCCTGTTGTTACCTGTGATGTTTCAGCCCTGCCACTGCCCCAGGCTGGGGTCGTCCAGCATCTAGTGTGAGCTGTGGTAGGAGAGAAGAAAGCATGAGGTGTCTGTATGTTCACTAGAGAATTAAAACCAGGCTCTTGGCTGCATTAAGAACATCATGCTCTATTTTAAGCTGGCCAAGTGACAGTGTCTAGTTTGCATCTTCTTCCAAAAATAAAAGCAGCTCACATTACTTGTGAGTGCCTAAACTCCAGGCCAAGTCAGGATTATGGCTCAGGATAGAACTGAATGTCTGCTATGGATGGGTGTGATGGAGTGGGACTTCAGCTGTGGCCACAGGCAAATTCGGATGGAACAATTTGCCACCATTGCATGGATATAGAGACACTGACACCAGAAGCCTCCTCCATGTAGATGCATGTGCGTGTGTTTATGCACATGTATGCATATCTATCTGTGTGCATATAAATGTGTGTATGCTTATGTATGTGCGTGTGTGTTTGTGTGTGCACACTTTTGTGTGGGCAGTGAAAGGGAAGCGGCAGAATCCTGGCTTGGCACCATAACAGTCAGGACCCTGTCCTTAATGGCTTCTTCCCCAGGCATAGCAAGTTCATGACTTAGATATTAAGTCACAGCCACTCGGGGGCACTGATCCTAGGGCCGTCTCCCATGTTCGCCTTAAGCAGGGCTCAGTCAAGTTCTAAGTAGAAATATTAAATGGATACTATCATGCATCCCCCTAAATCTCCGGTCAGAATATCTCAATTCCCTGAGGTCAGACTTTCTGCACTCTCCAAGGTGAGCTCACTACTCTGAGAAACAGGTCCATGGCACTGTGACCAGGAAGCTAGCTCAGAGGCCACGTACAGCTCATCTTGCCCACCTCTCTGTGAGATGCGCAGCACTGGGGCCTCCTGCATTCATCATCACATCCTTCTATGTCTAACCACAGTGAGTGGCATCAACCAGGGGTGGAACCTGCAGACCAGAAAATAGGAGAGTGTGCTGTGCCGGCTCGTTGGGCAGGAGGACCATTTAGAAGGGTCCCTCAAATCCCACCACTGAGAGGCCTCACTGCTCGAAAATAATACGGGAGGCCAGGTCTGCCTGACTTCATGGTGATTTTGGTGTTTCAGGCAAAGAAGGGGAACTACGCCTTTCTGTGGGATGTGGCCGTGGTGGAGTACGCAGCCCTGACAGATGACGACTGCTCCGTGACTGTCACTGGCAACAGCGTTAGCAGCAAGGGCTATGGGATCGCCCTGCAGCATGGCAGCCCCTACAGGGACCTCTTCTCTCAGAGGTAGGCTCGGTCAGTCAGAACACGCTGGCAGCCCCCATGCTCCAGTTGGGGTTTAACCAGCCTTCGGGAGATGAGAGCCAACACAAACTTGTTTATTCATCACGTTTTCCTCAGTGCCGACTATGTACCAGTACATGCTGCCCTCCACCCCTGTCCCCAACTAGTCCTATGCCAGGTCCTGGGATAAAAAAGAGGAAGTATGTGTAACCTTCCCATGAAGCTGCATAGTCTCAGTGGGAGCTGTGATGTGAGTAGGCGATGTCAGCACAGGGCAGTCAGTGAGACAGAGAGGATATTCTGGGGGTGGTGGAGTTCAAAGAAGGGCATCTGACCAGACCCAGAAGACCAGGGAGGACTTCCCAGAGGAGGTGGCACCTGAGGCCTGAAGGTAGAGTAGGAGTTAGCCAGATGGGCCTAGTAATTTAAAATTAAATGAAAGATTAACTGGATCTGGGAAGGGCCCAATAATAACTACTTAAGATAAATGCAGGGTGGAAAGAGTCAGTGTGGAGACATGAAAAACTGGGGCCAGAGAAGCAGATTGACTCCATATTCACCTGCACAGGGGCTGAGGGAGCAGATGCTGTCCACTGGGGCAGGACAGGGACCTGGCCCTCACTGCCCACCTCCCCATCTTTTCCGGATCAGCTCCTGGTAATTGATACTAGCAATGGGGCGTGTTGGGGGAGAGTGGAGGGAAACACTGTGCAGACAGGAGTGTTCTGGCCTAAGCAAAGACACGTGGACCCTGTCCGCCAGAAATGAATATGTGTGTCTAGTTTGCATTGGCCTCTTTAGCTTCCCAGGTGATTTTCTGGTGCACGTCCATCCTTTGAACTTGATCTTCTCTGGACTCCTGGGCATGACTGAGTTTCCAAGTGCTCAGTCTGGACACCTGGTCGGCCTCCTTGACGAAGATAATCTCTCATCATCCCACCCCCATTTCTCGCTTCCCCACGGGAACTTACCTTAGCCCTTGACCAGGTTACCTGGCCTCACAGAGAGGATGGAGGTGAACAGCATGGGTGAGCTCAGTGGCCTTTTCCCAGCAGCCAGCCTGCTAACAGGGGCTCGTGTCCCCAGTGATGTCTAAGCCCACCACTCACACATGTCTGTGGAGTGACATCCTGGTGGGTGAAGGAGCAGAACTAGAGCTCTGCCTTGGTCCACCAGAATCCAAACTGTGGCAGAAGCGGCCAGGTGAAAAGGCCGGCATGGCGCTGAGGCTTAGGGGCAGCGCCCTGTTACCTGATGAACACATGTTTTCCAGCACTGAGGAGCATCCACTTGGAGGGGTGAGAATTGTTAAAGATCATTCGTTTCACATCCTGAAGCTCAGAGAGGGTAATGTGCGCTGAGGGCAGCTCAGCCAGCAACTGGCAGATTTGGGAGGAGAAGGCAGGTCCCCTGAGCCCCAGTGCTGTGCCCATGTTGCTATCGGATCTCTGAGCCCTCCCTCCTCCCACCTCCCAGATGTTGATTGGGCTCTTCTGATCACGAGCACCTGAGCCTAAACCCCATCAGGGAGAGGCCTAGGAGGAGGGCCTGCAGCCCATTCATTCAGTGGCTTGTTTGCAAAACTGGGAAAAGGGGTAGAAGTAATTAAGTTCAATGAGGCTTTGGGGTTTTCTGTAGAATTTAATCAAGTATACATGCCATGCCTCCCTTTGCTCCCTGGAGCAGAGATGGATGACACAAGAGAAGGAGGAGTAGTGATTTATCAATTGCTGGGATTAAAGGCATGAAGAAGGGATGGCTTCTCTCCAGGGTATATAAGACAGTGGTGTTCTTGAGGTTTACCCTACTTGGTTTTCTGAGACAGGATGCTCAGGGCATTCCCCAGGCCATCAGCCTGTGAGCACCTCTCTCACAGGTTGGTAACAGATGGTAAGGGAGCTTGTGGGACCAACGCAGCAGCAGCAGCACCACCAAGACAGCTAATGTGCCCCAACACAGTGCTCACAGAAGCACAGGGTCCCCAGTGTGGAAAGCTTAGGGTCCCCGTGCACTCCAACTGCTCCGAGATCCCCTGAAAGTCTGCTGAAGTGAACACTGACGGACTGGAGAGAGGAGAGAGCCTGGTTCTTGGCTGGATCTTTCAACAAACATGATTGAAAGTGGCTAGTCCAGTTTCTGTGTCATTTTGGCAGGAAGTGATTAATTACCCTTTGCTTTCATCAGAAGGCCACATGCTCTAGGACTGTAAGTGAATGTCCTTGGTAGGCTGTGCTGGCCTCCTGAAGTATTGTCATTGGTGTCTATGTTTTAGCCTTTCCTGGGCTGGAAGCGTCCCCACCTCCCCTGCCTGGACACGTGGGTACCTACTTGGGGAGAACACTCAAGGCTTCAGGTTTCCAACTTTCTGCCGCCAACGGTTCTTTAAGAGGCTCCATTATATGATGCATGCAGAACTGGGGGCTGCCCCTAACTGGGTCATGCCTGAGAGGAGGAAGGGGGCAGGTCCAGGAAGCAATGCCCCATGCCATTGACAGAAAAAGAATCCTATGGAAATAGCAGATCCCAGTCTTATCTGGAACTGCTGTAGCCTTCCTTCCCTGAGTCCCAGGGACTCAAGTTATTTCCTTGAATACAGATATGTTCCCTTGTTTTGGCAGAGGACTGGGTCTTTAGGCTACAACTTACGTGTGTGTGTGGGACTGCGGTTGAGTGCCAAAGCCCTTTTATGGACCATGGCATGCAGAGTAGGCATTCAGCAAATGTTTAGCAACTTAATAGCCATTTATAGAGCACCTACTATGTGGCAGCCTCCACGACTATTGACTAAAGGAAAGCACCTGCAATTATATCTGTCTGGAAAATAGGACAACTGGCTTCAGGAAGTGGCTATTATCATTCTGGCTTACTCATAAGCAGGAGTAGAGATTATTATGGTGTGCATTAGTTTAGCCTCGTTCCAGGAGTCATTTTGTGCCCGTGACTTGTTTTATCTTCCCTCTGTTGCTTACATATTTAAATTTTCTTTTGGATTAGCTTGTTTGTTTTTATTTTATTCTGTGTTTTCCTGTAAATTGCCTTACAGTCTTCCTGGAATAATATTGGGCATAAACATGCATACAATTACAAGGAGCAGGAAGAAGGGAAGCGTCAGCAAAATGAAGCCTCCTGCAGTTAATGAGCCCAAGAGTGGGAATCCGGCCCTCTGGCCCCGCTCCTGTTGGAGTCTCACCATCCCCTAGGCTGGAGGTGACTCTCAGAGAGGAGGCTGACTGCACTTAGCAGCTTGGTGTCCTGGAGAGAGCATGGCCTCCCGGGTCAGCGTGACCCAGCCCTGAAGAGCAGCTACGCCACTTGCTAATTGCAACTGGTGGCAAGCCATCTAGATTCTGAGCCTCAGGTCTTCCATCTGTAAACATAAGAGCTACTTTGCAGGCTATTGTGAGGATTAAAACAATGTAAAATGGTCAGTCCTTACTGTGTCCTCAGTAAAAGGCAGCTTGTGTAAACATTGGATGGCTAGGGCTGCTGGTCAGTATGGCGCCAGAGGGTGGTGCTATACTGACCAGCTTTCTGGAGCTCTTCTTGCTTGCTAGCTCTTGAGCTGAGTGGTCCCATGTGTTCTCCCGCTTTTCATCTGCTTGTGATAATTCTGTGAGGTAGGTGCTTTTGTTACCGACCTGGGTCCTTGGACTCTTGAATCAACAGAAGTTGATAAGAGGCCAGACAAGGAATTCAGGCAAGGCTTTACTGGGACTCGTGCTATAGCAGGAGGGAGCAAAAACAAGACAAAGGTCCCTTGCTCACTCCCCAAGGGTGGGGAGGGGGGCAAGCTTGTACCTTAAATGGGGTAAGGGTGGGGGCGGATGGCTGGGTCTGGCTGGAGGGCTGGCTTAGGTGGTCTGCCCACCCCCGTGGGGGTGCTGTGTGCAGGGATCGTGTGCAGTACCCTGCTTTTGCTCCCTGAAACTTAGAAGCAGCAGTTGGTTTGTGGCCCTTTTGTATCTTACTCTTCATAATGGCCCCGACTGCACATGCATGCAGTTATCTTCAGTCCGTCACAGTTTCTTTGTGTTCTGTTGCTGCAGCAGACATTTGTCCAGGTACAAGTGCAAGCACTCCGGTAAAGGGTCCCAGCTCCCAGCCTTTCTCACTTTTGTTATGATCTCCGATTTTAGTGATACGAAAGCTAAAGTTGAGAGGTTTCCTAACGTGGCTAGTGTGACGGCAGAGTCTGGGTTTGACTGGTGTCCATCAGAGCAGAATCTGTGGCAATAAATTAAAAACTCTGCTGCTTCTCCATGGTGAGCCAGTAGCCCAACCACGAGTCCTCTTGAAGGCCCTGAGGTCCTGCATACCTAGCCCTGGGCTTCCCGTAACTGCCAGGAGGCCCAGCCTACTCGGAACTGCCAGTAGACACGTACGTAACGGCCACTCAGCATGAGCCAGTGGACGTACAGACATGCAGCTTCCCTAACACGTCCAGAGCCACTTGGAGGTAGTGGGACCCTGCAGCTGCCCAATTAATCATGGCATGTGCCACAGAAGAGACCTGTGGCATCCCAAGTGCGACCCCAAATGCCTGTGTAAATCATGCCTTTATCCCAATGACCAAGCTGAATTCTAAGTCTCTTGTGCTGACCTGTGCCCTGGCCACTTAGCCGACAGTATCTCACCACAGCCACTTTAGTTCGGGTTAGTTTTCACGATTCCGTTCATACATTCGTACATTATCGATGCAACAAATATCCCTTGATGGCTCAAGTTGTGCCGGCCACTGTGCTTGCCCAGGGGAAGCCACGGAGGTCCAAAGGATCTACTCATTCCCGGTAATCATGGGTCAATCCTGCAATGATGAGGAAGCCAAGCTTAGTAGGGGCGAGTCACTTGTCCGAGGACACCCAGCTGGGATTGGTGCAGATTCTTTGCACAGAGCCAGGCTGTACCCAGCCGGCGAGATGCCACACTACGCTGGCCCCTAGGTGCTGACAGGGCAGGGAACCCCCTCTGGGCTGTCTCCCTCCCTCTCCACAGTCACAGCCCATGATTGTTAACTGAGCTCAGCTTCAGCCTGTGGTCACAGCTGGCCTGCAATTCAGGTCCAGGGCAGAGTCTGCTCAAGTGGCCAGTTGGCCATGAGCTTCTCCTGACCATCAAGAACCACTGCTCTTGAACTGTGCATACCCAGAGGGCTCAGAGAGGCCACTGAGGGTGTTGTCACCTGAACAGATGACCATGGACCAGGCCAAAAGTGTCCGGCCTCCACAAATAAAAAAGCTTCGGTGTGAGAAGCCCGGGGGCTGCCAGCTACCACGGGCTCCCTGTCCAGACCCCTGGATTATAGAAAGAGTCCATGAAATACTACAACAAAGGAGAACTACCATCCAGACACCGACCTGGGGAATACGGGGGAAGGGGGGTTGCCCCACCTCTGTCAGCAGGATAAACGCCAGGCTCCCCTCATACCTTCCCAGAGCCCACATTCTTGGCTCTGCCTGTTTCTTTCACTTCAACTCACATCCTCCTCCTCACCCACCGTCTACAGCCTCACTTGCCACGTTTTAGCTTCTCATACACTCACCCTAGACAAGACTTCCAACCATGGTTCTAGTCTCAGGAAGGCTCTTCCTCTTCCCCGTGGAATGCCGTCCTTGCCAACCACAAAATGACCTTGGCAAGATATGTCACCTCTCTGTGCCTCAATATCCTTCTCTATAAAAATGGGGCCATGGAAGTAGCCTTTCCAAAGAGTTGACATGAGTGTTAAACACTGTCAAGCACTTAGGCGATTTCCTGGCACACAGGTATGCTAAACCCCTGTGAGCTATTTTATGCTTACCCTTCACCTCCTTGATGAGGTCTCCCCTCACCCTCCAGTCCAGGCCACCCTCCCAATGGGTGCCTTTCTTTTTTTTTTTTTTTTTTTTAACATCTTTATTGGGGTATAATTGCTTTACAATGGTGTGTTAGTTTCTGCTTTATAACAAAGTGCCTTTCTTAGCGTGTCTACTTTCATTTCATTGTATTGATCACAGCTTCTTACTCCACGTTGATTGCTCTGATTGTTTCAGTGTCCGGGTAAGTATCTCTAGACCAGCACTTCCCCAGCCTTTTTGGCATCAGGGACCAGTTTCATGGAAGACAAGTTTTCCATGGACCAGGGTCGGCGGGGATGGTTTCGGGATGATTCAAGCGCATTACTTATTGTGCACTTTATTTCTATTATTATTACATTGTAATATATAATGAAATAATTACGTGACTCACCATAATGCTGACAGGAGGTGGAGCTCAGGCGGTAATGCGAGCGATGGGGAGCGGCTGTAAATACAGATGAAGCTTCACTCACTCACCCGCCACTAACCTCCAGCTGTGGGGCCGGGTTCCTAACAGGCCACAGACCACTACTGGTCCATGGCCCAGGGGTTGGGGCCCCCTGCTCTGGACCATACTTGCAGCAGTGTTGAACATCATACTTGGCACAATGCAGATGCTCCTCAAATCAATGAATGAATGAATGATTTGATGAATCCTAGTGGGAGAGACTTAGGATATAGTTATTGACGTTTGAAAGAAAGCCTTTCTGTGGGTCCACAGTCTGAGTGATTGCATCATGCATTTCTGTATTTCCTGATTTTATCCTCAGAGCTTGCCCCAGGATCCCATGTCAAGGGTCCTTATGTACTTTGCTGTTGGACTTCATCCATGGGCAGTGGGACAGGGTGGGAGAGGACATCAAGGCTTTGAGGAGGAAAGTGACAAAATCTGAGGAGTGTTTTGAGAAGGGTGCTTTGCCTGCAGAGTGGAGAATGGATTGGGAGGGAAAAGCTGAGGCAGAGAGCCACTGTGATGGTTCAGCATCGTCTGTGGAGGGGCCGACATGGCGGGGAAGGGGCCAGGGCCCCCATGGCTGTGTCAGTGAGGCCAGGGCTGTGGCTCATGTGGATTGTATCTTGCAGGATCCTGGAGCTTCAGGACACTGGGGACCTGGATGTGCTCAAGCAGAAGTGGTGGCCGCACACAGGCCGCTGCGACCTTACCAGCCATGCCAGCGCCCAGGCGGATGGCAAGTCCCTCAAGCTGCACAGCTTCGCCGGGGTCTTCTGCATCTTGGCCATTGGCCTCCTCCTCGCCTGCCTGGTGGCCGCCCTGGAGTTATGGTGGAACAGCAACCGGTGCCACCAGGAGACCCCCAAAGAGGTCCGTGCCCTGGGCCCTACTTCTCCTTTTTGCAGCCTAGAGGCAGGAGAGTCCCACTGGGCCACTCGGCGGGCGGTTTTCTTCCAGTTAGTATTTACCCGAGCCGCTTGTCTGGAGACAGCAATGTTTTATGGGGGGATGGTGCCATTGTTTTATTTTGCCTTGAAAGCCAGATAACAAATGTAAGGAATGTTTTCACGCTTGAGCAAGTGCCAAGGCGCCAGCAATGGCCACTAAAGTCGTGTATTTATCTATAGAGCGGGTGCAGCATGAACAGCGCCTTCCCTACCCTGCCCCGCCCATGTGCCTCCACCCTGACCTGGAGAGACCAGCTGTAGGGTAAGAGAGGAAACCGCATTCCTTCCTGGTTCTCTTTGGTTCATCAAGGGTCATGGGCCCTGCTTTCCCAGCCTGGGAGGGAGGACCGGCCCCCGCCCCTCATCATCCATTCTCCCTCTCTTCCTCCTCCTTGCAGGGCCCAGCCTTGCCCACGTCCCTCCAGGCACACCCAGCACAGGGACCACTTGGGCTCTGTTCTGACTCTAGGTTCTGGGCACATGTCCTTCCCCGTGGGTACCAACTACAAGCTGTTTCTGCCCTCCACACTTCTGGGTTTTGCTCATCTTCAAGGTCGATTTTTTTTTTTCTTGTCTGTAGAGTCTTCATGAAGTTCTCCTGGAGCCAGTGCCTCTAGGGAAGGGTGGCGAGGAGCGTCATTTGGTAATGATGCTCTCCTGGTCGAAACCTGCACACAGGCACTGTAGCACAAGTCCAGCCACTCCACTGTAGGGCTGTCACTACCTGATACATATACCTCAGCTAATTCTTGAGTCATAGCTCCACTTAAAGATTATGTTGATAGGGATTCCCTGGTGGCGCAGTGGTTGGGAGTCTGCCTGCCGATGCAGGGGACGCGGGTTCGTGCCCTGGTCCGGGAAGATCCCACATGCTGCGGAGCGGCTGGGCCCGTGGGCCATGGCCGCTGGGCCTGTGCGTCCGGAGCCTGTGCTCTGCAACGGGAGAGGCCACAACGGTGAGAGGCCCGTGTACCGCAAAAAAAAAAAGATGTTGATACAAACAGGGCTAAATTTCAAACAAGAAGCACTAAAGTAACCAGAACCAGCATTCAAAGAGGCAGCATCACCATGGCCAACATCTCTGCAGCCTAGAAAGGCTGGCTGACCACAGCCCCATACATCAGTCTGTAACAGAGCCCCTGACATGACTGGGAGTGAGGACAGACCCTCCATTCATACCAGGCAGTGAGCTCTCTGTCATCACGCTTAGATTTTGCTGGAAAGAGCTTGCTGTTTGACTCAGCATGTCTGAAATGTTCTGAGGACCTCCATCTTCCTCTCATGCTATCTGCATACCTTCATGTAAGGCCATGCAAAGCCAGAGTCTCCCACAGACTCAGGGGTCTCCTGTCACCCCTGGGCCATATGAGAGGAGGAAGGAAGAGATTTGAGGAAAACCCACTGACAGGAACAGTTAATGGTCCTGTCCCAAGCTTCTTTTTCATTTTTTTTAACATCTTTATTGGAGTATAATTGCTTTACAATGATGTGTTAGTTTCTGCTTTATAACAAAGTGAATCAGTTATACATATACATATGTCCCCATATCTCTTCCCTCTTGCATCTCCCGCCCTCCCACCCTCCCTATCCCACCCCTCTAGGTGGTCACAAAGCACCAAGCTGATCTCCCTGTGCTATGCGGCTGCTTCCCACTAGCTATCTATTTTATGTTTGGTAGTGTATATATGTCCATGCCACTCTCTCACTTTGTCACAGCTTACCCTTCCCCCTCCCTGTATCCTCAAGTCCATTCTCTAGTTGGTCTGCGTCTTTATTCACGTCTTGCTCCTAGGTTCTTCTGACCATTTACTTTTCTTTTCTGTTTTTTTTTTTTTTTTTTTAGATTCCACATATGTGTGTCAATATACGATATTTGTTTTTCTCTGACTTACTTCACTCTGTATGACAGTCTCTAGGTTCATCCACCTCACTACAAATAACTCAGTTTCGTTCCTTTTTATGGTTGAGTAATATTCCATTGTATATGTGTGCCACATCTTCTTTATCCATTCATCTGTCGATGGACACTTAGGTTGCTTCCATGTCCTGGCTATTGTAAATAGAGCTGCAATGAACATTTTGGTACATGACTCTTCTTGAATTATGGTTTTCTCAGGGTGTATGCCCAGTAGTGGGATTGCTGGGTCGTATGGTAGTTCTATTTGTAGTTTTTTAAGGAACCTCCATACTGTTCTCCATAGTGGCTGTACCAATTCACATTCCCACCAGCAGTGCAAGAAGGTTCCCTTTTCTCCACACCCTCTCCAGCATTTATTGTTTCTAGATTTTTGATGATGGCCATTCTGACTGGTGTGAGATGATATCTCATTGTAGTTTTGATTTGCATTTCTCTAATGATTAATGATGTTGAGCATTCTTTCATGTGTTTGTTGGCAGTCTGTATATCTTCTTTGGAGAAATGTCTATTTAGGTCTTCTGCCCATTTTTGGATTGGGTTGTTTGTTTTTTTGATATTGAGCTGCATGAGTTGCTTGTATGTTTTGGAGATTAATCCTTTGTCAGTTGCTTCATTTGCAAATATTTTCTCCCATTCTGAGGGTTGTCTTTTGGTCTTGTTTATGGTTTCCTTTGCTGTGCAAAAGCTTTGAAGTTTCATTAGGTCCCATTGTTTATTTTTGTTTTTATTTCCATTTCTCTAGGAGGTGGGTCTTGCTGTGATTTATGTCATAGAGTGTTCTGCCTGTTTTCCTCTAAGAGTTTGATGGTGTCTGGCCTTACATTTAGGTCTTTAATCCATTGTGAGTTTATTTTTGTGTATGGTGTTAGGGAGTGTTCTAATTTCATTCTTTTACATGTAGCTGTCCAGTTTTCCCAGCACCACTTATTGAAGAGGGTGTCTTTTCTACACTGTATATTCTTGCCTCCTTTATCAAAGATAAGGTGACTATATGTGCTTGGGTTTATCTCTGGGCCTTCTATACTGTTCCTTTGATCTATATTTCTGTTTTTGTGCCAGTACCATACTGTCTTCATTACTCTAGCTTTGTAGTATAGTCTGAAGTCAGGGAGCGTGATTCCTCCAGCTCTGTTTTTCTTTCTCATGATTGCCAAGCTTCTTTTGCTACTGGAAAATCTTCAATGAAGTTTACAGCAAATGTCCCTCTATACAAATGTCCCTTTGATTAGGGGAGGAGGACAGCTTTTCCAGCTGGGTGAGCATTGCACTGTCATGGAGGCATCATTCTGGGCTGCTGTGAACAGTGTGGAGACCAGACGACACAGGCTCAGACCCAGAATGTCCCTTGTGAGTCCATCCTTGTTGCTTCTAGTCACTGTCTCTTCACATCCCCTGGTTCAGTATCTAGCGCCAGATCCAGCCTGGACAGCCCAGAATGAATTGTCGAAGGGGCTGTGTGTGTGAGAGAGAGAGGTGGCGGCGGGGGGATCACTGGAGAGGCATAGAAGACAGAGGCAAAAAGAGAGAAAGACCAGGAGACCAAGGGATGACCTCCCTGAGAGGAACAGCTCCGTTCTTGCCTGGAAAGCCTCCTAGCTTCCTTTCTGGCTTCTACATAAGCCCAGGATCTCAGGCACAAGAGAATGAAATACAGTATTCCTGCTTAGAAAATGTGGAACTTTCTGCCCGGGGATGCCAGCATGCTTCTGGATAGGAATGAGAGTTGATGTAGAGGTGGGTTGAATAAAACACAGTAGCTGCCTTTCCTCCAGCCATTTTGGGTGTTACATGGTAAAAGGAAGAACTGTTCCATCTTTCTCCTGTTTTTATAGGTTTCTGCTTTTCAAATGAAATTTCTCCCTTCCTTTCCTCATTTCTTTAGTAAGTATCCCTGTAAGGACATAGTTCCTGGCTTTAGGCGGCTTAGCTCTACATGGGCAGACATGACAGAGAGGGCAGACATGACAGAGAGGTCAGCCAAGAGGTCTCCGTCATCCGTTGATCAGGGCCATCCTGGAATGAGCCACAGTTTCCATCAAGGGCTCAGGGGCACCCAGCCCAGCCAGGGCATGGTTGGGTCACAGAGGGTAGGGATACTGGTTAGTGAAGAGTTCCTGGGGCTTGGGCTTGTTGGAACTGAGTGTTGAAGGATTGGTACTAAACCTCGAGCTGGAGGAGATTGGAGCTTGCTTTGGGGCTGGGTGACCAGCACAGGGCAGACAAAGTCATCACACCTCCTGGAGCTCTGGGGCATCAGCAAGGAGATGGGAGTAGAGGAAGCTGGAGTGCAAAGCAGGGACTTGCTCTGAAGGACTTAGATGCCAGACCAAGGGGTTTATACCTCATCACACAGGGAATAGGAGCCAGGAAAGGGGTTGAAACAACAGATTTTAGAAGCATATATTGAAAACCTTTGACAAATAATGATGGTATTTAATCCAGAACCGCTTTGTATCACTGGTTGCCTGTATTTTATGGCGCAGCATTTGCAATTAGGTGAGAGTGTCTGCTTGAGCTGAGAATGCTTCATTTTGGGGCATTGGCCATATTTCTTAAGAGCCAGAAACCTGTCTTTGGGTGGCGTCCTAAGTCATATTTAACAGCTTATGCTGCGACATCGTCAGAGTTTAGACACCTACTTCGGGAAGAGTAGTAATGTGCATTCAACCTCTTAATATTCACGTGGATTTGAGGTCATATTTTTTCTAAGGAATCGGACGATTATGTAGTTAACCAATGCAGGTGAGTGCATCCCGCTCCGCAGTTGCAATAAAGAGCCACCCTCTAGATTTATGGGGAAAGTGGAGCCGTTGCTCTGAGAATAAAATATTCATGAAATAAAGATGAGAACTGCACAAATGGGAGATGACATGAGAAGTGAGGGATGAATCATTTGTCACTAGGCTGGGAGCTTGGAATTCTTGTTGCTTCCTGCCTTGCCTGCCCTCCCCCAGTCTCTGCTTCCTCTGTCAGGGGCTGACAGAGGCCGGGGTGGCCAGGCAGCA